AATGTGGTGCCTACCCCTCTGTGACAGCGGTAATCCCAGCCTGCGAGCAGCGGGGAGGGAGCCCTGTGTTTTCAGCTGCTTCCTTCACTGGGGGAAGCAGGAGGAAGTGAGTCCTGGCTCAGGTGCCACAGGTTTTCTCTGTTCTTTCAAGGTCTCAGCCATGTTCTTACAAGCACACGGACCTCAGTGGCTATAGGCCGTGTCCCACTAGGAACCAGGGGTTCTTGTAGAAATGGTTAGCTTCAGGGCTGGAAAAGGAAAAGTACGAGATAAAACTGTTGTGCCAAAAACTAAATCAGTGTTTAAAATATTATGGGGACATGTCAAGAGCCCGTTTGAAGGGGGCTCTCTCTGGGGAAATCGGAGCATCAGGATGATGATAGGAATAGAAAATTTGCAGAATTAAATAAACAAATGAGACCCTACCAATATGAATAAATGAATGGAGTCAGGGAGGAGAGCAAGCTCTGTGAACAGCAGACTGATAAATACAGAAATAATGTTTTATTATAAAACCACTTTATCATTTTTCTGTAACCATCACAGTAATCAGGCAAGTATCATTAATAGATGCTAAATATAGTGGATACAATTTTAATGAACAGAATATTTACATAATCTCAAAGTATCTCCTTTAAATTACTTATTAATCACCAAAGAAAAAATAGTAACTCTACAGGGAAGAAGCCTGGTCGACACCACCTAATGAGGTGATCAGCTTGGCATCTCCAAGGGGCAGGCTGGCCTCTTGGGTCTCCGGTAATAACCCTGTGGTGCTCCTGCTCAACATGCACCCCTTGGGGACAGTCATAAGGAAACAACAGGCGAACATAAGTTGGAGAATCTTCTACAAAATAATTGGCTGTTTTCTTCATGAATCCAAGGTAGTGAAAGGCAAAGGGAAGGCTAAAAACTGTTCATATTAACGGTACAGAACAATTAGATATGATTCTGGATTTCACTTGGCCAAAAAATTATGAAGGATGATAGTAGGACAGTTGATACAGCATTAAGTATCCTGATTTTGATAGGAATACTGTGTGACTGTATGAGAGAAAATCCGTATCTTAGGAAAGAGTCACTAAAACTATTTGTGGAAAAAGATGTGATGTCTACAAATTATAATCTAATCAGTCAGGATATGGAGATATATATATATATATATATATACACACACACACACACACACACACACATATATATGTATAGATGAATACAATTAATGTAGGAACAGCTTAAATGTTCACTATACAGAATGAACAAATGGTTAAGGAAATTCTGCTTAGTTGACTTGCTGTAATATTATGAATTCATTCAATGTCATTACAAAATATATGGCAATGGCAAAAAATGCTTGTTAATATAACCATATACAGCAGAATTGAGGATAGTTGTATAAATTTAGTATGTGAGCTTGGAGTGGAAAGAAATTTGAAAATAACTTGTGATGGAAGTCTTAGCATCTTTTTTACTTTCTTTAGTCCTGTGTTTGTTCTTTTAAAAAATGTGAAACAAAAAGTCAACAGATCAAATAACACTGTAAATGTTCTGTGATTACAATCACTGGATTCAAGCGAATTCGATTTTTATGGGCATTAAATGAAACGGAAATAATGGTGGTTGTAGTGTTCAACCAATTCAGATTGGGAATGGATTACCAGTTTGTTAAGAAAATATAACTTAAATCCGTGCCTTACAGCATTCTCCCAGAGTCCCACAGGAAGTCCGTTCCAATTTATTTCCTTTCCTGGGGAGGTAGGTAGATGGAGAAGCACCGTTTGCTATAATTGCGCTCAGTTGGATACATTCATGATTTGTACTATTAGGCAGTGGAGGATGAAACAAAGGTTTTGGCAAGGAATGCTTCAAAAAGCTCAAACTGAAACAGCAAACAAAACAAAACCTCATCTGCAGACACTGGTGTTAAGTAATAGACATAAAAGAAGGGAAGAAATTCCATTTCTGAATTTTTATTGACAAAAAACCCCACAGTGATAACAATTTCATAATCAGTAGAGTTGATACTGGATAAAAATATTGAGTAAAGAAAACTTTAGTTTCATTCTCAGAACTATATTTTCAGATCTAAATAAACTGTAAGTTAAATCAATAGCCTGAGTGTCGATT